CTTCACCCACAGGGTTGTCCGCTGGAGGGTGTAGTATGTCCCATGGGGTGTCCACAGTTGTAAATCTTTTTAGAAGCAAACTGTCACACCTTTCTCCGGAGGAGCAGCAGGTGGGTTCTGCCTTCCAGCACCGCCAGGGCTCATTGTCATTGTGGGGGTTCTTTCTCACACTGATGGAGGAAGTTCCAATGACAGAATGCGCTTTGCTGCATGCTGCTAGCCCTCGCCATCATCCTACTCAGGGTTACTGTCATTTCTTTCCTACATCTGTGAAAGAGCCTAGTCATGGGCACCCCCGTATTTGGCCATAGCCACTCTTTCTTTCTACAAGAGTTTTTTTTTCTTCTTTCTAGGAGTTGCTTTCTAGGTTTTCTACCTAGTAGCCAAAGTGATTAATTTAAAATGTAAATTGCCCCACCCCTCTCCTTTAACCCCACTATCCTAGCCTTACCCATCTCTCCATTAGTCTCCTACCAGGTTCTTCCTACCTTCCAAGTTTTCCTACCACTCTCTTCAGGGTCTTTTACGGTGATTCTTTTCAAAGAAGCTGTTAAAGGGCAGTTGGACACCCTTTAGTTCTGTTCTCAGGATTGTGAGGCTGGTGTTTGCATTGGTCATTAGTTCATGAGACTAAGTATTTCCACGTGTCTTTGGGTTTGCATCACCCTTCGTTGCTCTGGGCAGGAGAGACCATTGGTTGCTCCTGAGATGGCTGTTTGGGAGCTCTTAAGGCCCCAGTTGCTACTCACTATAGTAGGATGTAGAATATTGTAAACTATGTTATGTCAATTGACCTTGTTGGCCCCAAGACTGTGATCCTGAGCCCCCAGGCCCAGGGATTCAACCCCTCCAGGTATTTGGTTATGTCTAGAACTTTTCATTACTTTTCCCACTGTGCACTCTACCACATTCCTGGATTATGTTGTGGTAAGGGTAAATACTCATATGCAAATATCTTCTTAAATATATGTGTGAGTATTCGCTCCCTTTCATACCTGTGTAGCCCGTATATCTATCCAAAAATCTACTCATAGATCACTACTACTGCATGATTGCATACATAACAATATTTACATCTGTCACCTTTTTACCATTTTTCTATCTGTTTGTCATACTGTAGTGGCTGTGTGTTGTTGTAATGTTGGATGCTTTGTCACCT